TATGGACAGTGGTTTGCAAAATTTGAAAGTTGAAGAATGCGGATTAAGAACGGGTGAGTTAACCATCAAATGCCTTTTGTACGCCGATGATCAAGTTATTCTTGCGTCGTCGGCGGCTGAGTTGCAAATGATGGTTACATTAATGAACAGATCATTAAAAAAAAGGTGTATGAAAGTGAACGCAAGTAAGACAAAAATTATGGTTTTTGAAAGAGATGAAAGTAAAACGATATGTGAAATAAGAATAGAAGGGGAGTTGATCGAGCAAGTAGATGAGTTTGTATATTTGGGTTGCGTATTTAGCAGGGATGGGAGATATGATAAGGATATAGAACGACGAGTGAACGCAGGAAACAGAGTAAATGGAGCCCTGCACTCTATTGTGAAGAGTCAAAATGTGTCAAAAAAGGCACGTATGGCAATTCACAATGCTGTGTTGGTCCCTGCTTTAACGTATGGTAGTGAAAGTTGGGTATGGCAGAAGAAGCACGAGAGTAGAATAAATGCTGTAGAAATGCAGTTAAGGAGTATGTTAGGGCTGAATCTGAATGACAGGGTGAAAAATTGTGTGATAAGAGAAGAGTGTGGTTTGCAAGATGATGTTGTGACAAGGATTAAGAAAGGAATGCTTCAGTGGTTTGGTCATGTGGAAAGAATGGATGAGGAAAGAGTGACAAAGAAAATTTATGTTGCAGAAGTGAATGGCAGAGTCGGAAAGGGACGTCTTAGGCGAAAATTTATCGACCACATTAGCGATTTATTGAAAACGGGCCAAATTAGGAGTACCCTTAACCGACGAGCATGCATGCGTAGGTGTACGGATGTGAAGGAAGCGAGAGAGGTGTGTCAGGATCGTGCCAAATGGAAGTCTGTAGTCTCTGCCTACCCCTCTGGGTGACAGGCGTGAGTGTTTATGTATATGTTATGTATTCAGTTTTTCAGTTAAATACATCGCTACATCCGATGGAACCACCGAGAAAAGCACTTTGCCCACTCTTCCTTAGGGGTCTTTTCGACGGCATCTTAAAACGCAGCCACTCCTTCCTCGGCGTCTATAAAACGTTTTCCTCAAAATTTATCTTCTATATTTTTTATTTAAGTTTTTATATTATTTTTATTATTTATTTTCGCAAATAAATAAAATCGCAAGATGCGAGGTCGGGGCTACAGGGCGGGTGACCCAGTAATTCCACGTCTGACGTCGCAAAGGAGTCGATTATTTGCCTGGCGGTGTTCGACAAGACGTTGTTGTGGTAAAGAAACAGTTACTGCGAAGTCGTTTCTCTCGAACTTTTTCCAAGAGAAGTGGCAAACAGTTGTTAGTGTGCCACTCTGCAGTAACTGTTTATCGATCATCTAAAACAATTATTGCGAAATGACCTGTCCTTCCGAAGAACGAGGCTATCAACTTTTTTCCCACACTTCGATCTTTCTTCACTTTAGTTGACAACTTCTCGGATGAAAACACCCAGAGAGCAGACTGTCTCTTATTTTCGAGATCATAACAATAAATCCAGCTTTCGTCACCTGTAAGTATGTTGAACACAGCATTTGAGTCACCACCGTTAAATCTTTGAATTTAACATTTCACGACATAAATCAACACGACGGAGTTTTTTGGCCTCTGTCAAATTATGAAGGGCATATCCATCGGGCACAAAGCTTTCTGACCGCTAAATGTTCATTGAGGATTTTGTGCACTTGACTCATTCTGATGTCTAAGCTTGTCCGAATCTATTGCTGCTAATTAGTCATTCTTTTGTCAGTCTCTGTCATACACTACACAACACTGATGTTATCTTCAGTCGTCGCCGTATAATGCCGTCCCTCACGCAGATCATCTGTGAGATTAGTGCGATCACATTTAAACTCATTAAGCCGGTTGTAAACAGTGGCACAAGATGGGGCTTCATCGTGAAAAACCAATCGAAGTCTATCATAACTATCTTTTTGACTTAAATGACATCGAAACTCATAAACGAAAATTTTCTCGCGTTAAATTCATACTGACGTGACACAGACAATTTTCTATTTGCCCCCAAATCGTAAACAAATGACAAATTAATAAAATACATACACAATAATATTACCAAAGAGTTCCATTTTTAAAATTTGAACTTATTTTTTATTACATTGTTTATAAAGTGGCCAGTTCTAAAAACTTTCAGTGTCGCCCTCTTATTATTGTTATTATCGTTATGATGAGAAAGAAAGAAAGAAAGAAACATGTATATCACCAACATGTAACATTGAGAAAAAATAATTCGTACAAATTGGTAATTAAACAGTTATCTTCTTCCAAATAGGATTCTGCTTCATCTTAATTGACTCTCAAAAAATCGTAAATTGATGTAATAATGCACTTAAACTAATGAAAAAACAGTAACAATGAAAAATTAAAGTCAAAGTATTATTTTAATAGACAGATAGAGTATTGTAATGTGTTTTTTTAGTAGTAAGGTGGGCTAACCTATTACTAAAAAACATCTACACTACATCTATTCTCGAATTCGAAAATTCTATTACGAATCAAAATGAAAAGCGTTGTCACCCTTGAGGACTAAGATTCCTCCCAGTAAAAAGGGTCTCCGGTTCTCTACACCTACCATACGAAACACAGCAGCGTTAAGCTGCTATTTTACGTCGGTATTCTGTGAGAGCGTGGTCCTTCCCCGGTCGAGCCGACCCATTTGTGCTACAACTATACTACTAATATAGCTGCAGTATGACTCTACCACGTATAAACATCTAGGATGTACGATCAAAATCTTTGTCTTGCAATTATACATTTGTAAGTTTTTGATAAAGGTGTATGTCTACTTTATGAATACATTATGATCAATACCTAGTACCTAAAACTAATAAGTGATTTTGATTATTATTAATATAAGATTGTTCCCCCCAGTTGGTCACAGACTTCTTATCATTTGGGTTCACTGCGCTATCTTGAATTACCACAGGTTATTTAAATCTGATTTAACTTTATGTTCAAGTATTTATGTTGAGCTGCAGTCTTCTTATAGGATGTAATGATAATGACTTTTCTATAAACTGAGTTAAAATTAAATTTCAACGAATTAAATGCATAAAGCTGGAAACAGATTCCTTAGTTCCGTATTTGGAACTCTTGGAGTACTGATCAAATTCCGATACAAAATTTTACTTAAACTAAACTAGGACGTAATCTGTCCGTACTATATAGAAAACTGTTCGTAATCGTGGTACTGCATAGACAACTTTAAGCGAGAGTAAGGAAATTCCAAATAGCTCCAATATCGGTCAGAGTTAACACGCTCGTAACAACGCGTAGGTTTCACGATTTCCTTTATCCGTTCCGTTTTCTTTTTGTATCACATCTAAATAACGTAACATGCATAATATGTTTTTGTACTATTCTATTGATATTAAAAATTATATCATAATTTATTAAGAAAGTCTTTTACTGTTTCATGACTATACAAATACAAAACACATAACAAACCTTTACTAGTTAATGATTTCAACTAAATAACTAATAGATATTTTTGTTAAAATAAAATCTTTTACTTGGTATAAGTATATCCATTACCCAATATCATCCCGTGGGTGTCGTGAAAGTCGACAGAAAGAAATTCAAACGGGAGATGCGTAGTATCTTCCTGAAAACAAATCAAAATACTTAAAAATTGCTGTTGCCAATCCGATTGCTAAGCGTGGCAACTATGGCAAAATCCCGCCTATAGGCGAACCTATGTGTAATGAATGAATGGATAGACTTGTAAACCCTGTTTATAAATAATTTATAAATTTGAAATATTTTTCACAGTTACGTGAAATACTCCCGGACTCTACAATATACTTGATAAAAATATGCAGGCTAAAAATGTTGAATTCAAAAAGAAATACCTTTTATGGTTTTCTGCTAATGTCGAACGTATTTTAATTGCAAATGCCTTTGTGCTCATATGAAACACTCCAAGACTCTTGAATAAACGGGAGAAATTAATATCTAAAACGTACTAACATAAAACTATTAGATAAACAACCCTGAATAAACATTTAGGGTTTTGTACCTTTATGATGAAATAAAAATTTTGACCTGTTGTCACACCTGAGGACTAACATGGAATTCCTCGTGACCAGTAAAGGGGTCTCCGGTTGTCTACACTCACCATACGAACGTCGTTTTGCGTGGTAGAGTCAAGCTGCAGTTATATTATGGTTGTAGTACGAGCTGGTCGACTAACCGTGGAAGGACCACGCTCCCACACAATATCAGTCTAAACACAATAGCAGCTTAATGCTGCTATATTTCATATGGTGAGTGTAGAGAACTGGAGGCCCTTTGTACTGGGTACAAGTCATTCCATGTTAGTCTCCAGGAGGCAAGGCATCTATCTACATATTGATTCTTAATCGCCATAGTATTTACTTACCATCAGGTGGACTGTATGACTCACTCTTATTTTATATATAAAAAAGAAACACAACAGTATTATGCTGTTATATCAAAATACTTTGAAACTTTTTAATCTGTGCGAGTGTAGTCCTTTATAGGTCAAGTGGTGCTGCAGGTTGTTCTGGTTGCAGCGCGACTTAACCATATAATGTACTTACGTGTAATAGTTTTTAGTATTTCCCGTACTTAATAGTTTTGTATGAGTCTCACTGGAATAAGTAGGTCGATGGTTTTCTTACGGGGCCACCACACATCGCAACTGCATTAGGAAAAATATTTTTCGCTGCAAGTTCAATGCCATCGTACCTAAAGTAACGAAAACTTCGATTATTACGCAACCACGTATTGAAGCATCGTCTCTCTCGCACCTACATAAATATGACAGTAATATTTTATCTGCGGCACCGGCTTTAGTGAGCTCGCGCCAGGCGTACTATAAAGGCGTGCATTTTGTTGTGTGTTTTCCAGTGCGACATGTTTATGTAATTTTACAATTTATGTAAATATTCGCAGAGTGACCTGTGTTGTTTCTTCTAATCGTGATTCTGCATTGTTTGCTTAGTAAGAAGCTGCTGTATTTGGTACGTGTATGAATAATTTCGCTTGTGTTTTCCAGCTTGTATTACCTCATGCGTTACAGTTAACAGTTAGAAATTTCCCATAGTACAAAAACAGCGACGTAGTAAATAAGATGTTAATAATCACTATCATATTCAATATATATATATATATATATATATATATATATAGACCATATTATTAGAAATTTATATATTAAAGTGATAATGGAGCTAACACTCTACCTGATGTTAAGTGACTACCGTAGCCCATCGACATTCACAATTAACTCCAAGCTAAGAAGACATTAAGTATTTTTTCACCCGTGAAAGCTAAGATGATTTTCAACCTGTAATTATACTTACTGTGCTTACCTTATAACTGAAACACAGCAGTGGTAGCCCTCTGTTTGGCAACAGAAATATATATTAAACTATCTAGAGAATTTAAAGAAATAGGCGACAGTAGTAGCCGAGCCGTGGTAGCTCAGATGGTTAGCTTTGGCTGTAAATTTCAATACGCGAGCAACCCGATTCCTGGGTTCGATCCCCGCCGGCATTAATGAAACGTAAATTTTAAATCCTGATTTACCACGCGGTGAAGAAGAACATCGTGAGGAAACCTGCATGTCTGAGAAATAAAAAAAATATTTCATAGACATGTGAAGTTCGCAATTGGGGCATCGTGGTGGACCCACGATGCCCCAATTGCCCTAAAACCCTCTCAAAAATGAGAGGCCTTTGCCCAGAAGTGGGACGTATATAAGCTGTAATTTTAAACATTAAGCGATAGTAGCGTAATAGTGCGGTTCAGATTGCAAACTCAGAAAGTCGTATGTTCGAAACCGACATTCAGTTTCTGTGGTAAACCACTCTTAATACAGGTAACGTGAGTATTAGTAATGATAATGGCATTACTAGAATTCTTTTCTTTAAAAAAATAAGAGTGTGGTTTTAACCAAGAGTGACTTCTCAGCAGAAAATGGACTTTAGCAGCAAGAGGCGATGTACCCTTATGGAGCTCTGAGAAACTCTTATAATCAATATATATTATAAATAATACCTATTGAAAGTAACTGTTATGATTAATTTACCCCTGGTTCATAATATACCTCTGCACTGGGAAGGGCCAGGAAGAAACAGGGCGCGACCTTTTTTGAAAAAAAAATTTAAAACATATTTTATGTTACACAATTAACATCATCAAACAAATGTGTGCAACATATATTATGTACATATACCTTATGTTTTATGTGTCTCCGAGTGTAGTTATAATTAATTTAAAGTTAAATCATGTGTATTCATTTTTCAATTAATTTATTTGATAATTGTTATTCAATTAATTATATTAATAACACATTAATTACTGTACTTAAATAAAACTACTGTCTGCTATATAACCGTAGAGCTATTTATATGTATATGTTATAAAGGCCGCATACCCTAGCACAAACTCCGGTCTTTTTGGGTTGTTATTAACTAAATACCATTCGAAACTTTGAAGCAACCGCTGGGCTACTTTGATCTTTCCATCCATTACAGCCCATAATAGTCTTCTGTAAAACATATATGCCTTTCCTCACAGATTGCATTACAAGGGGATTTCGCCATAGTAGCTATGCATTTCAGGGTTAGTAATTTTGATATTGTATTTGGTGTTAAATTAGACAAAAATAAATATCTCTGAGTTTCTTGCAGGTAATACGCTGAGAAAGTCGTGTTTGTAGAATTGATGTAGATTTAGACCAGTGATGGGCAAAGTACGGCCCGCGGGCCACCTCCGGCCCGCGAAAGCATTTAATCCGGCCCGCCGACGGTCCTTCGACATGAATAGTATATGTCCCGCGATAATTATATTTTGATGGTCCATAAGTATAAAGTAGATTTTACTTAGTAGAATAATAGACGCATAGGTAAAGGAGCCAACTAGACTAGACGCGTAGCCGTAGTTCATGTGTTGCGGGTCGCGGGGCGTGGGGCACAAAGAAGCGTGGTGAAGGGAGAGGCGCGGGCGCGGGTGAGTAATAAACTCAGTCGCCTACTGTCACCGAGTGAGCCGCACATAAAGTTTTGCTTGTTTGCGTGGGTAATTTTGTTTTAAATTTGTCCCGTGTTCTTTCTTGCTTGTTCGAGTGACGCACTAAATTCATAATTGTATCAAAAATAAAGTTCCGCTTTTGGGATAATGGCGTGTAAAAAACGAAAAGTTGATTCCGAGTGTCGACTGTTTAAAGAAGAGTGGGCTTGGAAATACTTCTTTACAGAATACAACGGTAAGCCAGTATGTCTTATATGTAACGAAGCAGTGGCGGTATTTAAAGATTTTAACCTCGCTCGCCATTTTAACACCAAGCATGCTAAAACCAAATATGCTTTAATGAATGACGCCGAAAAAAAGGTGAATGCGGAAAACCTAAAAAAAACAATATCTGGCCAACGAAATATGTTTATAAAGAAAAACACTGCTCAAAAAGCCTCTACACTGGCTGGATATGTTGTGGCTTATAACATTGCTAAAAATAACAAACCATATTCGGAAGGAGAGTTCGTAAAAGATTGTATGGTGAGTGTGAGTAACATTTTATGCCCAGAAAAAAAAAGAGAGTTTGAGTCTGTCAGCTTATCGCGAAAAACAGTAACAACGCGAATTGATGCTATTGCATCAAACTTGTCGACTCAATTAATGCAACGTATAGAAAAATTTAAATATTTTTCCGTGACGATGGATGAAAGTACGGATAGAAGTGACACTGCTCAATTATTGATCTTCATTAGAGGCGTTGACGACGAATTTAATATTACTGAAGAGCTAGCTTGTTTGCAATCACTAAAAGGAAAAACGACGGGGCAAATAATTTATAACGAATTTTCCAAAGGTCTTCAAAATTTAAATGCTCATATTTCAAAATTATGCAATATAACTACAGATGGAGCCCCAAATATGGTTGGAAAAAACGCGGGATTTTCAGGTATTTTTCGGAACCAGAATCCTAATCAAGATGTTGTATTTTTACATTGTATAATTCACCAGGATGTCCTTTGTAAAGCTGCACTAGATTTTACCCATGTACTTAATGTGGTTATAAAACTAATTAATACGATTCGATCCCGGGGCTTGGTACACCGGCAATTCCAAGAATTTCTGATTGCAATCGACGCAGATTATTCTGATCTTCTTTACCACACGAAAGTAAGATGGTTAAGTTGTGGGTATGCATTTGAACGGATCTGGAATTTAAAAGAGGAAATACAAGATTTCTTAAAGAATAAAACAGACAAATGGTCTGATTTCCAAATCTTCGAAAACAAAGATTGGTGTACCGATTTTGCATTTTTTACCGATTTGCTCGAACACTACAACAAGTTAAATAAAAAATTGCAAGGACAGAACCAATTTATAGATGAGACTTGGGGTTGTCTAAAATCATTTAAAACTCAGCTTTTTCTGTTTTATAACTGCATGGCTAAGAACGATTTAACTCACTTTCCGCGTTTAAAATCCATGGCACCAGTGAGTGAAAACAAACGGAACGAATTTAGTCAGGCGTTGAAAAATCTTCACACAGAATTTGAAACTAGGTTTCAAGATTTTAAGAACATTCAGTCATCACTAGACGTTTTCTCGATGCCGTTTAATGTAGATCCGGAAAATATATCTGCAGAATTGCAGTTGGAAATTATTGAAATGCAGTGCAGCACCCATTTAAAACAACTGTTCTTAAATTCCACAAAACTAGATTTTTATAGAACATTGCCTAAAGCTGAATTCCCAAAGATAATTGCTCACGCCCAGAAAATTATGGCGATGTTTGCGTCGTCGTATGTGTGCGAACAGACTTTTTCGACCATGAAATTGCGGAAAAACTCAATCAGAAACCGACTTACTGATGAACACCTTTTCGCGCTGTTGAAAGTTACTTCATCACAGCTCGAACCTGCATTTGAAAATATTATGGCAAATCAAAAGCAATTTCATATGTCTCACACGCCTACCACAGCAGGGCCTTCAAATAAAAGTTAAAGTGTAATTTTTAACATTTGTGCAAGCATATATGCTGTAATGTTTTATATGATTAAAGGTTTCAACACAAAATGCATTTTTCCTATAACTCTGGCCCTCCTATGAAATTTTTTTAACTTTCTGGCCCCCCAATAAAAAAAGTTTGCACACCACTGATTTAGACGATAAGAAACTATCAATAATGTCCTCCAGATCAAGAGCTGTCTTTATCTATTAACGCAGATCGTAAATACTTAAATAAACTTAAACATTTTTATTGTTTATATTACTTTGAGTTTTTAGAATTTAGAAATGAATTACCATAGGCTGATAATGATGATTACTTTGACCTTATTTTACAAAAAGAAATCTATTACCATAATACCACTAAGTGGTCAGCCGCCGTAGAGTCTACATTACCTGAAGATGCCTCGTGTAGAGGCGAAACACGTGTCGTATTATCGTCGATGGTGTGTCTTGCCTGGAATAGTGGTGTTGGGAGTAGTGGTGCTGGGACTAGTGGTGACGGAGTTAGTGCATGCAATTGAGGGAGGGCGGGAGGTGCTCTTCAATCCAGGTAAGACACATCGTTGTATTTGTTTAGCGGCAGGTTGCGAAGAAATTTATATTTTAATTTTTTATTATAATGGATTTCCGCAAAGTAACGCCTGATTCTATCAATTATATTACCATAATGATAGAATGAAACAGACTGCTTTTTACACATTAAAATTTATAACTTTTTAAGGTTTAACGGGCGCGCCGCGGTACCTAAAGACAACGCGGTAGACTCATTCAAGTCATAAGAGATATTTGCCCAACTGTGGGGCGAGTAATCCTATATTGATATATGTAACTAAGGCAATAGAAATTATCTTATATTGCCTCATCAAATCGGTACGAGCATCGCCACCAAGTTTAGAAACAAGTTTTATTATAAGATTTATTTCTTTAAAAAAAAAACGTTTCACAAAAATACAAACTTATAATGAACAAGGACAAACATTCAGACCCAGAACAATTA